TTATTATTATTATTATTATTATTATTATTATTATTATTATTATTATTATTACCTGAGTTCCTCAGGAAGTCAGTCCAGCAGAGTTTCTCAGTCACTTCTGTCTGGACACCTTTAAAATAAACATACACATGAAAATCACAAGACACTTGTTCAGTTATATTCTGCTCATCAAATAATAAATTAGCAGTGATTCAAAAATAGTCAGTTTTCTTGATTAAAATATAACCTTTTATGTGATAACGATCTAATAGTCACTGTTAATAAATGAGTTTTCACTGGTCCGGCCTCAGCCAAGCAGATTACAGAGACTCTTCTCTGATTGGGTGCTGATAAAATCTTTCCTCCTCCAATCACAGGCCTGTTCTGTACACAGAGGTTGTCATTTCATATTCAAACATTAGCCTCTCTGTGGTGAATACTATTTCTCCAAACATAGTAAGTGATGGGAGACATGAGTTCAGAGCTCTCAATGCCATAATGTCAAATGTGGAAAAAAGCAAATGGCTAAAGCAACTCTATACAACAACATGTTTGATATAAGGAGATAGAAAAAAACAAACCCTGCTGTTAAACTAACTTGAGTGGTAAATAAAGAATGCAGAGCATCAAGCAGAATAATCAACCTGCAGATCTTACCTTGGGGCTGTACATAGATTTTACTGCTCTGGGCAACCTTCAGGAAAACAGAGAGTGAAGATAAAGAAGCACAGAAACACAAATAAGTACACAAACAWACCCTTCAGTTAAGATTGGCAATGTGTGTTTATACAATTACAGTTGATAGTTACTATATGTGCTGCTCTCATTTCATGAAAGACAATGAAAACAGACATTTGATGTTTTTTTATGCTCAGAGCATATTAAAACTAAATACAAACTTTAAAAAAAGCAGTCAGGGAAGCAGTTGATAAGATAATGGGAACATTGCAATATAAATCAAGGGGGATGGAAAATAAATTGACTGGATGTTATCACACCAGATCCATCAACTATGTGTGTTTTGTGTCACAATAAAAAGCCGAGCGATGCCTCTCAGAGCCCGTCTCGTCAGCCTCCTGTCAGCACTTAAATGGCAGAGATAAAGTGATGCCACTTGCCTCAGTTTGCAGCCTATGGCTGGAATCTAATCTGAAAATAAAACTCTGTAATGTTGTTTTAATGCCAGACTATTGTAGCACGGGGTCCAATATTGTGTTTGTATTGTGAAAGTCCTTCTGTTGTATTTGTTGATGCTGTCAGTCTCCAACTGTCTGCTGTGCTGTAAAATAAAAACCTCTTCAGCTCCTGCCTTCTCAGCATTGCGTGTTTGCAGAAGCAATCTAACCGAAGAAAAAATTAATATCCTTTTCAAATTAAATTATCCCTCAAGATAATCAGTGGTGATTAACCAGCAATAAGTCACACAAAGAAATGTTAATTTGGTAGCAGACAAACTGCCTGACTGAAACCATGGATTTTGCCAAGCAGAGTCATGAAGTCAACTGAGGCAATAATGTTTAACTGCAGTACTAATGATGACCACAAGACGCTGACCTTCAAAGCATCTCTGGTGCCAACAGATTCAAAGCATGTTAACCTTTTTTTTGTTTTATTTGTTAGATTTCTCACAATCATCATTTTTGTCAAAAATGGCCTTTAATGATTGCTGGCTATTTTTAAAGTCAACCCATCATTAAAAAAATAAAAAATTTGTTGAAATAGTGCCCCACAAACAACAAAAAACAGACAGTGAAATATTAAACTCAAAGATTTTAAAAAGTGGCCCACAAAAGGTACATTTTTAGTAGCTACTCTAATTTTATATTCTGCAGTAGTAGTGTATCAATACAACAATCACATTAATATAATAATTAAATGATTAATAATTCAGTTGCATCAAGGCAAAACCAAAACATCAATCATATCGTTATCATGTGCCCGATGTTGATCGATATATTATGCCCAACTGATTATGATGAACATTTGATATCACATCATATTGACTGAAGACTTGTGAAATGAAGTGAAATTTTATCATGAACTTGTGATATCGAGAAACATAGTATCATCATCATCCAAACAAATCAATATAATATGGACCCATTTCTGATACTTCTGCCTGTCCCAGTTTGATCAGAATATTAACACRCTGCAGAGATCAACATAAAAAAAGAACAAATCAAATCTTAAAAACACATTTCTAAACAGCAGGTATGTTGTCATGATCATGCTCACAATGCAACTTTTCAGTGCAGCTTTTAGTGTTATTTTGCTAATCTGGAGTGATTGCTATCAAGTGACCCACATCAGTCACAGAATCTCTTTAGAACTACACTGAGATGTCTGAGATTGAATCCAAACATCACTTTTTGTTACTTAGGCTTTTGCGGCACATTTTCACTCCTACAACCCTGAACAACACTATCCATTTTTTCTTCAGCAGATTATCTGAAAATATAAGTGACATCTAGAATAAGGAAATTAATAAACTAAAATGCAAAAAGAGTAAAATCATACCAGAAACAGTTCTGCCTCTTCTTTCAGTTTATCAGTAAATGCAACAGCAAACCTGATTGGGGACAAGAAAACACCACATTATTACCACTAAAGGACATTTCTGTAAAGCAACAAGTTCATTTGTGGCAATAAATATGAGTCATTTTGAAATCAAAAACAACAGAGCAGCAGCAGTGAAACACAAACAAAACTCTACAGAAATTGGCGGAGTGACATTCCACAGTAGCCTGTATGCCATGTTGGAAGCTAGGCCGTTTATTCCCCCTGAACATCACCCGTTCACCCTTAACTCATAACTACTTGTCACAAAAAAGTGGTTTTCCTTTCCTTTGAATTTGACTCACATAACTTTGTCCAATGTGGTGTAGCGGCTCAGTACAGTAACTTCCAACATGGTGACAAACGCTCAACGTGCAATGCCTCATGTTGTTAACCATTCTCTATAAACAAATAATGAAAGCAGGGAATGTGGCTTGGAGGCACAAAAAGGATTTCAGGACAAACGTAGAGAGAATACAATGAGAAAAAAAATGAAGGGAATGTGGGGCAAAAATCAGTGGGGGCATATTAATTTGCTTGTGTGGCAGTGCATTATTAAATGGGCCAACAGGCTCTGTGAGGTGACCGAATTTCATGATCAAAGTTAGTGTGAAGAGGCACGAGCAGTGGGAGTTGCATGGATTGAGATGTTTGAAGTCGAAGGAGCTGGACAGACTTACTAGATAAATTCACTACCATGCACTTTTAGCTCAAATGAAAAGAGGCAGAGTCTGATGTCAGGTCACAGTGCATGATATTGATAAGTATTCTTTGTTAAACTTTGGGAGAAGAAGAAAAAACAGAATACTCAGCCCTCACAGCTGGAGCTGGATTACATATGCTTAGCCTCACACTTTCATCACATCCATCAGGGACGGGAAGCAGCTGAGAAGCCCGGACTGTTTTCCCCCACATGAATAACTAAAACTATAGTTTAGAAAGTCTAAGAGAAAGCCTTCGAAAATCTTAAAATATTAAAGGGCTGTCATTGCTTCAAGGAATGCATATCGCCCACTGCCTTTTAGGTAAACCTTGTAGATGAAGTTATGCATAATCTCAAACAATATTGAGTGTTGTTACTCAAATTATGTGTCTGGGTGATATAGCTAAAAATGTATCCCGAAATAAGCATCATATCAGTGAATATCGATAACTATTTATTAGTTTTTTTGTTTTACCTATTTGAAATAAAAACCAGAAAAAAAGTCTGATTAATACTGACAAACTTGTGAGGTGGCATTTTCTCTTTTATTACCCAATTTCTTCTTGAGCTGTTACACTTATTTTCTCCTTTCAATCCACATAATTTTTTATTTATTTTTAAGAAGTTATGAGGCAAAACATGAAACTGTTCTGCTCATGTTACTCAGCAGTTTACTGCTAGCTAACCAAAGGGCGAGTGAGTTAATTGATGCCACCAAACTTGCTTAGCTGGACCGTGAGAGGTCCAGCAGCTAAAGCCTTTCCTCTGCCTACATGCCCCAGAATGCTATGCGGTTCTAGATCGGAGTTCAGTGAAATTATCAACAATCTAATGGATCTATTTTCTTTTTTTTACTGATATGGATAMCATGGTATATATTACTGTTTTCTATTGATTTTGTGTCTATCACAATATATTGTTATTGATTTATTGCCCAGCCCTAGTCTCAGCAACCATGTATAATGTAGGACAATATCTGTAATGTTAGCAAAATTATTGCATTTTTTGTGTTGGCTAATGYTGATTACAATGTAATGATTTGATTACATTCAGTTTGTTAGTATGTTTAGGACAAGAAAAAAATCACATGATTAAACAATATTAGAAGTCATCTAGAGTTCGTATTAATGTGAAATAGGCTATACAAGTGGTCACGGTTACTTCCTGTTTGAACTTGAAGATGGTGACAGCTGCATCAAACTTCTACAAAGGAAGTTTGGAAAACATGTCATAATACAACCTTTTATTCAGAAACTTAATAAACTCTATATAAAACTGTTTAAAATAATATGAAAAAGACTGTAAAACTTCATTAACTCCACATTCACAACAAATATTTTAAACAGAATCAGCAGAGCTTTCTCATCAGAAACATTACTTTGTCATAGGATACACATGGGTATAACAAATCAGTGTAATGGTTTCTTATTTTTGTCTTTTTTTTTTTTTTTTAGAAAATTAGATTCAACACAGAGTTCAGGGCCTGTATTTATAAAACTTCTTAGAGTGGATTTTTAGACTTAAGTGCTGAAAATTTCTTAGATTTGCTCCTACTCTCAGACTTAAGTGTAAGTGTCAGTTATGAAAATTCTTAAGTCTAAGAATCACTCTGACTCTCAAGAAAAGTTAAGGCTGCTCCAGAGGACGCTTAAGTGGTTAAGAGTTCCCACTAGGGGTCTGAGATGAACTGAGGAGACAGAGATTACAGCTGTCCTCCTCCTCACCTGAGTGTTATTCTCAGTTATAAGATGTGGAAAACAGGTTTAATCAGAAATAYACAAAAGAAACWAAGGTAAAAAAAAATACAAAATAAAAAACTAAAGTTGGACTAAAAGGCAGACATCTGTGTGTGGCTTTTGGAGAAAATATTAAATATACTCAGCTGGTGAGTGCATGCA